GTCTTCAGAGGTTTGACAGCCCTGAAAATAACGTGTTCGGCAATAGTCCGCTTTCATCGACCAGTATGTACCAGTAAAAGTAGTGGTTTTTTGTGTTGTGTTCCTGGCTATTTTACCAACAAGAAACCAAATACCGAACTATATTCTGTTATGTATAGAGGAGTTATATTCTGTGCTTTTATTGTTAGTCGATAATTTATTGGTGTAGGCTTTGGCACATTCAAATATTGCAGTTGGTTCATGTAGGTTTTATGTCCTTCTGGAAAATACAAAGAACACACTCTATGGCCTGTTGTTGGAGAGAAATCTTTGCAGGCAATTAAATTTATCCACTTCTTACATTAGTAAGAATTTGAGTTATTTTGATTCCACAATTTTACCATTTGGAAAAAAGATTTCTTTTATTGTTGGTAAAACAACCAGAAACACAACACGTAAAACTGCCACTTCTTTTACTCATACTGGTCGATGAAGTAGACTGTTGCCATTACTTTCAGGACTGCCAAACCACTGAAGACCTGTGCAAGAGTTCTGAAAAGAACTAGGATGTTCATTAGCTTGAACAGCCTCTAAAAAAAAACGACAAAGAACAGCACTCGGTAGCCACATTGGATTGTTTTACAGTCATAACTTCTAAGACCAGAATTCCCAAGGCACATCATGCTTTGTGATGTCATTATGCATAAGGTATATTACTTTAATAAACAATTTACTTTTATATTCAATTACTAATTATAACTTGAATAATTCGGATAGTGACAATGTCTGATTAATTCCAATTTTTGCAAGTATTGTACATGAATGCTGTACTTTTTGTCATTTTCTCTGAGGCTCCAGTAGATGTCTAAATTTTTCGTATATGGGAAATTCTGGAATAACCAGTGTACCCGGCCCTTCCCTATGGCCTGAGTGTGGGTAGTTTGGTGTTGTTTGCCGGTATCTCTATCACCAAATTATTTTTGAAAACTAAACATTCATATATATAATATTTATAATATACAGCCATCTTAAGAAAGATTGATCTTCAAAAATCTTAAACATTAAGCGCACAAGGTATGATGGGTATTGCTGATTTGAAGCCTATGATTGGACATTAGCTCGGTGAACCAAATAGCCCTACATCAAAAGTGTTTATTATATACAGTATGCTCTAGCATTGTTGCAAAGCAAATTTCCTGAGATAGGAAGTTACCTACCACACCTTGCGTGCTCAATGTTTAAGGTTTAAGAATAGACATATGTGGGACTTTGATGGTGCAGTTGTCACAGCAAGCACCTCTCACCTCTGAGTTTGTGGGTTTGATTCTCACTATGGACTCATGCGAAGAGAGTCAGTCAATGCTTTGCCGAAAGACGTGGGTTTTCTCCGGGTGCTCCAGTTTCCTCCCACAGGAAAGTTGACGGGTGGGTTAGGATAAACACAGTTTATTAAGTAATATCACAATTGTTGTAAAAGATAAAGTACACGGCTAAAAACGCACAGGTTGTTCCAAGTTGATATCGACAGGTGTCAACAATGTTGTGCGGCCAAGTTGGCCAACTATGAACAAGTTGTCAACCATGTTGTTCCAAGTTGTTACAGTTGAACAATGCTGTAACAGCATGTTGACAACACTGTTCATAGTGGGCCGCACAACCGTGTTCACGCCTGTTGATATCAACCTGGAACAAGTTGTTGATTTTCTCAATTTTTACGTGTGTAGTTTAGGCTGAGTATGTAATATATAAGCATATAATACTTGATGTAAAGCGCATTTGATCATATCCACATCACACGTGATCATATCCACATCACACGTGATCATATCCACATCACACGTGATCATATCCACATCACACGTGATCATATCCACATCACACGTGATCATATCCACATCACACGTGATCATATCCACATGTACTGTACTGTAAATTTGCGCTATAGAAATGCTAATCGTAATATCTTGTCACACTGACTTTCCAGCCGGAGCTGGGTAAAAACACCGCAACTCCGGCGCACAGCAATACGCAATTTTTACTTTGACCTGCAGCAGGTGAATGCATGTGGTTGACTGTAATTAGCCACAAGCCACAAAACATTGTAATAACTCTAATTATATTAGAGAACTCTAATTATATTAGAGAACTCTAATTATATTAGAGAACTCTAATTATATTAGAGAACCCTAATTATATTAGAGAACTCTAATTATATTAGAGAACTCTAATTATATTAGAGAGAATATTTATACAAGGTGTATAAAAAAGTAGACAATGATAAAATGGCCATGAACTGAAAATTCTGAAAAATGTGTCGAAAAAATTACGTGAATTGTTAATATGGGTATTCATTTTAGGGTCTTTTGATTTCTCCAACACTGGGGATAGTATTTTCAAAATTCGGGTGAAAGTTTGGAAAATATGTTTAATATAAACTATCAAAGCTATTTTTAATGTGGTTTTAAAACAACCCTCCTGCATTCGGAAGTTTAATTTTAAGATTAGTTTTTATAGTGTTCAAAATTTCATAACTTTTCACACACTTTCTTATATATATAATTAGTTCATTCTTTCTCTCCCCATCCATAAATTTTCTGGGGATTTTTTCTACCCCTGGTGGTATGAAGCGTTCATATGGAAGTGAGATCTCGCCATGGGCAAGATAAGATATCACCTAGCTGATTGAGCATGCTTAGGCCTCGTGTACACTAGCACCAGATTGCTTACCGTAACGGCGGGTAAAAATCAGCTGCACAACTTTCAGAACGGAATGTACAACTTTTAGAAGCTGAGCGAAACAACATCTCTCCGTTACAATAATTTCTCTGAAAATAGCGTTCCTAAAAGCTAGCATACTAGCTTTTGAACAAGTGCACTTGTCATAGAAAAAATTGTCAAAGTACAAATTTTGTTCGTTTGTATGGGTCAACAAGTAAAACTTGTCAAAGTAATCTCAGCATTTGATGTGATTGGCCAGCGCTCACGTTGTCCGCTGTACTATTACATTGCTGGCGACTAATAAATTGCCAAAGTAAACTTGTTGACACGTTCACGCCAGTAAATAAAATTACTTGTCATATGAAAACTTGTCATATAAAATTTGTTGCATATATATATACACACGTGCACTTGGCAAATAAAACTTGTCACATAAAAACTTGTCATAGAAAACTTGCTCGTCTGTAACCGGCTTAAACGTAGCCTTAGGCCCCGTTTACATGAGACCGGAACGAAATCAAACCGGGACCATTTCGTTTCGGTCATAGTATTATTTATAATAGATGTTTAAATGAGACCGGGACGAAAATAATTCAGACCGGTCTGAAGTCATATTCCGCCTGCTGGACCGAACCGACCGACATGAGTTCAGACTGGGATGAATGTAAACACAAATACATTTCAGACCGGTCTCGGATGTAACCTTGACATTGAAAATTTTGTGGTTTTCGTACCGGTCTCATGTGAACATGTTGACAGTTTGACTTCGTCCTGGTCTCATGTAAACGGGACCTTATACATGGGAGAATAGGGCACCTGAGGAAGTTACAAGTTCGACATTTCGTCAGGACGTGAATGCCTAACTAGCTGCTAAAGTGCGATTAACCCCAAATATGTTTTTTTTTGTATGTGTAATATTTGGGTCATTCGAAGAAGAAATGTACTATATCTTTATAATAAAAAATTCCATCTTGATCAACTTTTCCACTGTCAAAGTTTCCGGATATGATGTCATTAGGTGAATTGCAAATTAGTTTTCCTTTGTTTTTTGTACCAAAAATTCACCTGATGACGTCATATCTGGAACTTTGACAGTGAAAAAGTTGATCAAGACACGGTGATCAAGATGAGGATTCTTACTATAAAGATATATTACATTTCTTCTTTATAGAATGACCCAAATATTACACAAACCAAAATTCATTTTTGGGGTTGGTCACACTTTAAATTAAACTAACCGATGGCGGGCTCGTAACATCTAAGTGTTTTTAATCTTTGTACTAACTAGAATTGAGTTTTTTGTTGATTATAAATGTTTTTCTTTCAGGCTTTGATAGGTAGAGGTGAAGAGAACTTGCAAGTCATGTTCCAAAATGTAAAGGAACGTATACATGTGAAGGAAGCCGCTGAACAAGCTGAACGATTAGCACGGCAAGTAATTGAAGCAGGGAAACGAGGCTGGCGTGTTGTGGCGCATTGGGAATTGCCAGAATGGCTTCGTGATAATGATTATATTGATCATGGGCATCGACCTCCATTAGAATCATTTCGACTTTGCTTCAAAAGTGTCTTTCGCATACATACAGAGACTGGGAATATTTGGACACATTTACTTGGCTTCATTGCGTTTGTCTGTGTTACGTTGTATCTCTATCTAAGACCAGTGACATTAGCAAGTCCTTTTCCCAGTGACATAACGGAAAAGGTTGTTTTTGGCGCGTTCTTAGGTGGAGCACTGTTCTGTCTTGCTTTCTCTACACTTTACCATACAATGGACTGCCACTCAGATAAAATCTCAAATCTATTTAGCAGGTGAGTTATACAGTATGCTTTAGTTGCTTTACATAAACAAGGAATAGATAATTCAATGTAAAAGTGTTGTTAAATTAAAAAACACTGAAAACGTTTTTAATACCCGCATTTCGTTTTTACCCGCATATCAGCAAAAATATTTACGTGGTGCTATAAAACCTCTATTAAGCCTAGCCTGCGTAACGGCTCAGAGAAAGTAGAGCCTGCACGAAACCCCCTGCTTTGCCATTTCCGCCCACTTAGCCTGCGGGCTACGCCCACTTTAAACAGATGTCAAAATTGGCCAATCACACAGATTGTTTACGTTTGCAAATTTACTTATCAAAATGAAATATAAATATAGATTGCTGTATGTTTGCAAATTTCAAAACGAAATACTGTAATATACGGATGGCGGCTAAAGAAAATTGAAGTCTGTGGGAATAGCGCTAGGCCTAGGGCAATCTCCATCGTTGTCACAAGTAGTTTGCAGTCCGTATCTAGTACGATATTTCGTAGCTTTCTCGCACACGTACAAATAGAATTTATAGTTTCGACAGCGGTCAACCGTGATCTATTAAATGTTAAAGTTTCGAGCGATGCTGATAAGAGAATATTAAAGGTGTTTAAAGCCATCACTTCACAGAGAGCAAGTCCTGTTCATAAGACATAAGCATTTATAGCAATTCTCTCCTGGCACAAAATTATTAGCTACAAAATCATGAAGAAAAAATCTATTTGTCGTCGATGAATTTATGAAAACGAACACGCTCGTGAGTTGTGAAAGAGCCAAGAGGCGCTGCTAACAGACAGCAATCCAACGAAGACACCACAGTCGGTATCTCTATAGAGCTTCGTGAACCAACTTCGTAAATAATTTTAATGTTCAACCGTAAATCGTGGCTTTTAAGTTCTTTTGAATGCAAAACTCAAAGAAACGCCTCTCAATAATACATCCGCCGTGTTTGTATCAATTTTAGCATAAATTAGCATATTTTTTTTTCCTTTTGAACCAATCAGATTTCTCGTCCTCTGAGAGAACGAGTAAATACGGCAAAGCAGGGGGTTTCGTGCAGGCTCTACTTTCTCCGAGCCGTTACGCAGGCTATATTAAGCCTTTCTGTACTAACTCCCCCTCTTTTGAGAAAGACATTTATCAAGCCCTGTATTTGTAGTAGTACCAATACATTTACCCTTCCATGCCCCAACAATTTAAACTAACGAGCTTGAGTCTGAGGCTCCCATGAACAATAATCTAAAACCATGCCTGCGGTATGCCTGCACTATCATTGTTTACAGCTGTTGATGCATACATTCTTTTGTGAATTATTTGGTTGAACTTCTAACGACAATAACCCGCCGACATACCGCAGGTATACAGCTATTTCAATTAAGGTTGTCCACGAGCAAAGCGGAAAAGTCGAATACGAGCGCGAAAGGCTGCTGGGAACCGCTTTGAAAATTCATTAATTTGTTAGCGATTCCCAGCAGACTTTCGCACTCGTATTTGACTTTTCCGCTTTGCTCGTGGACAACCTTAATTGAAATAGCTGTATATGTGAACCAGGCTTTAGGATGAAACTACTTGAAAAATATAACACGAACTTCGACGCTTCAAGCGAAACCTTTGTTTGGAAGTCAGTGAAGTTCTGTTATATTTTTCTGGTAGTTTGATCCAATTATCCCTCAAGATTAATCTGCTCAGTGTTTACATTTAAGTACATCTAATAAACGCACCTTACCTTGGGTGATATGAATTGATATAGGAGTATTTTGTGTGTATTGGTGTTATGTGTTATTGGTGTTACTCTGAGTGTGCATCCCATAGATATCTTATATACACTAGATAGCGCATCTCTTTTAGTAAAATTGAAGCCACGAATATTCCAGCGGTTACTCCCATTTGAATAGATGGCGGCCATATTGGAGTTTCCCACTCGCTAATAAACGCTTAAAAAACAATAACTTTCATCATTTGAATAGTTTGAAATGTATTTGGAATAGGTTTAACTTAATGTTTAAGTTCCCTGTTTAAGAAATAGAAAACATACGAGTCTTCTCATTTCATGGGAATAGCCTGAGTCTGCAATCACGGCTTCCATTTCTGAATTGCAGAATAATTAGATGTACTATCTAGTGTATATAAGATATCTGTGGTGCATCCACACCGGGCAAGCTGAAAAGTTAGCTTGGCCATTCCCACCGTGGCCAAGCTAACTTTTCAGCTTGCTCGGTGTGGATGTACACTCAGAGTAACATCACAAACATAATATAGGAGTGTTTATACTAAAATCCTGATTTAACCGAGGCTTCTATTTATTCTCAATTTAATGCAGTCACATTGAGATACATAAAAAATAACGCTAATGATATTATTTTTCATTGTAGATTGGATTACACTGGAATAGCCCTGTTGATAGTTGGTTCTTTCATCCCATGTCTTTACTATGGATTCTATTGTTATCAAAAAACAAAGATTGTTTATATAACTATGGTTTGCTTGCTTGGACTATGTTGTATAGGTATTTCTTTATGGGAGAACTTCAACACGCCGAAATACAGAGTTCTTCGTGCAGGTACTATATTTAGCTGCGTGTATATATATGCATTCACAATGTGGGGTGAACTTATGGGTGGGAATAAGTTAATCGTAAATCGTTTCATCCCAAACAATATTATACATTTCATGTCTGCTTCCGAGGGAAATAGTTCGTTTGTTTTCCCGAGAGTCTCAATTCGAGGGAAAACAAATTTAAACTGTTTAACTATTTCCCGAGAGAACAGACATTAAGCGTTTTGTTATATACAGTATAGCTGCGAACAAAAATCAACATTCAACAACATTCATACAACAATTGTATTTCGTGACAAAAACTCTATAGTGTAAACGAGTTTAAAATTAAACGAAACCTACTTAAACGGTTTCGGCGGCAGTATATCCTGTTTCCTGTTGTGTATTTTTTTTTCTTTTACATTCTTTATTTGAACACAAACTTGGAAAATCGTATAGTTTCTAATTATGCTAGTTGTGCCGCCATTTTGTTTATTTATGTACGTAGCCGGTCGGGGCGGGCAACAATTTTTCACTTGTTGCCCAGCGGGAAACATTGCATTTATCTGAATACGTTTGGTGTTCACCCTAGCTATATAACAATTAACAAATATAAAACATTTTCCGTGTTGATATACAATTCTATCAACACGAGTGGAAATTGGGAAAACGAGAAATTGCGTGGAAACACGACGCCCGAAAGGCGGAGTGTTTTCACACAATTTCGAGTTTGCCGAATTTCCACGAGCGTTGATATAACTATATACAGGGATGGATCCAGCTTGATCTGGTAGGGGGGTGCTCTGCCAACTCGGGTGCCGAGTTGTGTCGGTCATGTGTGCCGCCCGGCCATCAACTTGCTTCACTACTGGAAAGTCTTGCTTGACTACTGTATTTGAATTGTAATTGTTGTTCACAGTTCGCTTATCATCATGTTGTTACTCAAATTACTGTATCTCATTTTGCCTTTAATAATTTCTTGCTTTATCATGAAAAATAGCACCCTACCCGCCCCTCAGTAAATCCATCCCTGACTATATATCAATACGGAAAAAAATGTTTTATATTTGTTTTATAATATAGCACAAAGAAATATAAAGAAAGAAATTGTCCGACGTTTCCGTTTTGACATTGAGTTATATCAACCCGGCTCTTAGCCAATCAGCGTTCAGAATTTACAAATGCTATATTATAATATGCTGTGCTGAGTGGGTATATTACTACCTTAAAAAATAAGCAGAAACTCGACGTTTCGAGCGAAGGCCCTTCGTCATATTAACTCTTGACGAAGGGCCTTCGCTGGAAACGTCGAGTTTCTGCTTATTTTTTAAAGGGAAATGGCAATATATTTTTTTATTTTTTCGTTTGAAAGAACATTTAAAACCATATATAAAACTCCTTTACCGTTTTTTCATATCTTGCTTACTTCTACAAATATTTTAATCGAATGAAATGAAATATCCGCCATCTTGGATTTTTGTAGATATGCATGTTACGTCACAACAGGGGTCACGCAATATTTTTATCTAGACAACCACCAATCATTTTGCACCCAAAATTATACTCTGTATGCTCTTGGAAATATCAAGATTACTTGAAACTTTTAAAACATCTACCAATCAATATTTGGTCAGTAACGACTTTTATATGGTTAATCCCTGTTGTGACGTCACCAAAACTACCGTTAATGAGATAAAAAATGTATCCAAGATGGCTGACATCTCATTACTTCAAGTGAAAATATTTCAAGAACTATGCAAGATATGAAGAATCGGTAAAAGAAGTTATTAAATAGTTTCAAAAGTTCTTTCAAATGAGAAAATAAAAAAATATATTGCCATTTCCCTTTAAGGTAGTAATATAACCACTCAGCACAGCATTTTCACATTGGTACTACCTACACTGGGACAGACAGTTTTAGTATATATTATAATATAACTTATTATATACTGAGCGCAGGTTTGCCTCCCTTTAATCCTGTAAGTAAGGTCGACCGAACTACATAGTCACGTAAAAACGCGCAAGTTGTTACAGATCTGCGAACAAGTTATAACAAGGTTGTTGCCAAACCGATATCAGGATGTGTTCGCACTGCTTATTTCCAGTAGTTGTGACAAGCCTGGAACAATTTTTATCACCTTGTTACAAGGTTGAGACGGGACCGATTTGCTACAAGTTGTTCCATGCAACAAGATTAGTACAAGCTGTTCGTAACAATCAGCAAGGCATTTTTTAATACCATGACATGGTGGGGCATTTGCCCCACTGGGCCCCTTCCTCTGCTCCACCACTGAGGAAAAAAATGGCCTATTGCCCCAAAGCCAGGTCCCTAGGACCTGTATTGAGTAAATGAGTTTAACATTAAAGAGAAGTTTAAAAAACAAAATTTATTGGTGAGCATACTTAAACTTATGTTATGTTTGAATGTTTAGCATGCAATTTATTACAAATTTCACCATTAAAACTTTGTTTTGAGAAGTTGAGATTCTGTAAAAAATGTGTTCTCAGAATGCAGAAAACGCTATTTCAGAGATACAAATTTTTAAAATTTCTTGGGAGGAGGCATACCCCCAGATCCCCCTAGCTAACTCGTGCCTGCGGTACTCAGGTTCACATCTTCGGCGATCGCATACTATCCTGGGAGGAAGCCAAGGAAAATGGGCCCTTTGGCTGTTTTGCCCCACCACTGAAGAATCCTTAAAAAATCCATTGTAACAATTTGCTCCAGCTTGTCGTCATCAACTTGTTACGTGCAGACGAAGTACTTGCATATTTAACTGTTTAGTTATCACTGCTTTTTGAATTCTCTTTCAATGCCTTTTTAGTTGTATTCCTTAGTCTTGGCTTATCTGGTATCATTCCGTGTGTCCACATTCTAATCGCTCATGGTAGTACAATAGCTTTGAGACAGGCGTCCCTTGGTTGGCTAATATTGATGGGCATACTCTATGTTACTGGAGCCGTCCTATACGCAACTAGGATTCCAGAACGTTTTTTCCCAGGAAAATGCAACATTGTGGTAAGTTTTGTAGCCAACTTTTTCAAATGGCACATGACACAAATTCGATGTCATTGTAATTACACATTATAAAGGTCCAAACAGACCGGACGCGATTCGGCAACGCGAATTTTCAATTTTCAATGACATTTAACTTTACTATTTTTCTTTTTTTTTTTCAAATATTCGGAACCACTTAAGTAGCCTAATTTTAACTATTTGGTTTGCATATCTTATAAAATTTTTATCCGCTCACGGTTTTATTTGTTTTTAAAAACTGAAAATTTGCGTCGCGTTGTCGAATCGCATTCGGTCAGTGTGGGCCTTTAGAAAGAACCTTCAAATGATGGTATAACTTTTTCCCCGTATCTCGTGATATTGAGGTTGGTTTGATATGTTAATAACACAACTTCCTATACATTACATTGAATGATCAGTAATACTTGGAGATACATTGATTTAAGGCACTTGAAACTTTGTTCGGCACATAGCATCTGGCGAAATCTTTAAATCACCATATTTCTGGCTAACCTTACCCAAAATTATAATGAACTCATCATCCCCTGTGACGCAGCAAGTTGTGTAGTTTGAATTTCGAGCCAGACTGAAAAGGGAAATGAAAAACTTTAAAGAGTGTTATACTGTCAAAATCTTTTCAATAGAAGTATTTTTAGAGCCTGAGTCATGTGTCCTTTAAGTGTAGGTAATAGGATGCTTTCGATTGCAATTTGGATAAAACATGCATAAGTGAGTTTTTCAAAGAGCATCAAAATAACACGAGTTCGAAGGACGAGTGCTATTTGAGGGTTTGAAAAACTCACAAGTGCTTGTTTTACCCTAATTTCACGAGAAAACATCCTATTGCGTATTAATAATATAGCTACATATAAAAATGTTCGAGACAAGTGTGCTTTTAACTTACTGTACGTTGATACAGGGAACCATTCACTGAAAAAGTTTTCCTGCTTTGTTACATCACATTATACAATTGTGCTGGCAAAGTTAATCCACACTAACCCAGTTAGAATCTCACAAATAATCGCTGTAACTTCACAAATACTCACGTCCTCAATCACATTCTCGCGTCCCTATGGTAACCTAATTTCCTTAGTTGGGGTTGTGGCACAGGCGTGTCCATTTGGATCACACTCCCCTAAAAATTGAAATTGTCAATTTTTAACCTTACTCTAACAATAACAATATGAACTCAACTGTACTTGTATCTATAGTTCAATTGTCCTCTTCTTCCTCTAACTGCAACCGTATTCTCTACTCCGCTTCCTTCGCCGCGTTTCTTTGGACTCGTTGATTCTTAGAGACCGTTTTGTTCTGCTTTTCCTCCACGACACTTTCTACAACTTTAATTTCCAATGGACAGACTAATTGTAAAGGCCGCTCGATCGATTCTTCGACCGTTATGACCCAAAACGACGCCCCGTACAACACCGTCCTTGCCATTTACTAAGCGTAATACTCGACCTTTCTTCCATTCGCCACCATTCTTTTAATCATCCACGATCAAGAGTATGTCACCGACGTCTGATACACCCCCGCCCTTCGGTTTTGTCTGATTTGTTTCCGTTAAAGCATGAATATACTCCCTTTTCCAGCGTTGCCATGCGTGTTGCTTTGCGTTAATCAACCGCCTGTTCATCGCTGTCAACTCGTCCGTATCTGTTTCCAGTTTCTCGAGTGGATATGCATTTCTTCCCCACATAATAACATTTGGCGATAGCACCTTCGACTCTGTCTCGCCCTCCACGTACATCAACGGCCGATTATTCAAATTCTTCTCAATATCCATTACCACTTGCTCCAACCCCTCAAATTACAAGTGAGATTTTCTCAGTGTTTTATATAAAGTTTTCTTGACTTCCTTAATAAACCTTTCGTAGAAACCTCTCCACCATGGGGATTTCGCAAGATTGAATTGCCACCTGATTTCTTCGTTTGCAAAAAGTTTTGCCTTTTTTCGCTCTTCCTTATAATCTTCACCCATTCAGCTGTAACTTTGAAAGTTTCCGCGTTGTCCGATATTATCATACGCGGTCTCGTTCTACCGGTAATGAAAGCATTGAGTTTCCTCTGAAATCTTGCAGCCGTTTGATCTTTCGTTACTTCCAAATGAACCGCTCTTAAGGCTGCGACGTAAATATTAAAACATAGCATTTTCCGTCTTCTTTCTTAGTAATGTTTATAGTACAGCGATCCTGCAAAGTTCACGCCTGTCACTTCAAATGGTCGGTCACCTTCCGTTCTAAAACTTGGCATTTTCGCTGTGATTGGGGCTTCAAACGGTTTTGCCGAATATAAATTGCAAACGTTACACTTGTTGATGACTTTCTTCACTTTCTCAGGTAACTTTGGAATCCACCACGTTTCTCGAAGAGTTGCCATTGTATTTGAAACACCGAGATGCATGATCTGATTGTGGACATGAGTAATAAGCTTGTTCTCAAACGCTCCTCCCCCAAGATATATTGGCTGATTATTCGTTACTCGTCCTTCGCATTTGAGTATCCCGGTGTCACGCTCTTCTACCAAACTCCATCCCGGCGACTGAATATCTGGCCGATCTTTCTGCTGCACTCTTCTCACACATTTATTTCTGGCACTCATGATTTCGTCCGTATTTAGTGGACCATTTCTTCGTTTGTCTCTCCTTGCTTTAGAACGACAGTTGTTTACAAAGCGTAAAATCCAGGCTGTGACTCGTAAAGTTCGCCAATATGAACTTCGATCGAGTAGATCATCCCATTCATCGGTTTCTTGCTCATTACAGTAGAAGATTGGTTCATTGGCTTTGTACTCACCATGTGTTTCTCTGTTCTTCTTAAGTTCGGGTTGTTCAAGCCACTTGTCCTCAGGAGCCAGTTTGGTCCTGCAAACCACTCTTGGCTCTCGAGCTTATCAATAGAGAGTTTAAGTTCGACTTTCGATACCAATACCAATAATCGATGTCTTCACTTCCGTTCTCATTTTGGTACCGGGAATTTTAAAGAGTTAAGTTATCACGACAGATAAAGTATAGAACACTGAACACATTAATCGTTACCGAAAATGTGCGGTATACTAAACGGCAGCTGAGCTAAAATTCCGACTAAAACATGACTCAGGCTATGCTAGTAAACAAATAGTTTACGTGTTTATCGAAAAAAATATGAAATATCCGATTTATATGAGTTTATCTTACAATTCCCACGACTTCCAAAACAAAGCCGACCTCGTGGTGACTTCCAATACACTTGTCCTCGTGCTTCTTGTGAGCAGAGCGCATGCGCATGATCTGTTGTTAGTATCAGTATTGGTATCGGAAGTCGAACTTAAACTCTCTAATGCTTGCACCCCTGCTTCCTAAATATGCAAGGTTCATCTTTGTCGGGCAGTATTTCCACACAATGTTCACTTTGTCGGTTATCTCCGCCATTTGCTTGACCCTGTTGGCTACGAACACCCTCCAAGCTTTGCCCGGTGTGGCGGTCTGAGATTGTATCATGCTCAGATTGATCTTAATTGATCTGCACATGCGCAGTAAGCCAATGCGCCCGCGATGAATATTGACCGTGCTCAGATTGTGCTCAGTTGCAAACACGTTATCTTCGATCGAACTGTGTCAAAATCTCTCCGAAATCTTCGCTTTTTTATATTCCTTTTGGATATTTCTCTTCTGTGACTGCATCTTTGGATCGTGCTGCTGTTGTTGTTGTTATTATAAAGGTGAGTATTTTTTAATATTTTATTATACTAAATGTTATACGCTATTACAGTGATCATATTAAAACATCAACAGGTCGAGTCGATAAAAATCACTGTATGTTTCCTATTAAACGCCAACATCCTTATTTCATATCTTAAATAAAATATAATTCCCATATTTGTCAGTGAGAATAAAGATGCCTGCTCTCATCAGTGAACAAAACACCGATTGTGCTTCAGAACCAAGTAATTCAGAGCTGGTGGTCGAGCAAGAAGAAGCTACTGTCAAAAAGGCAACAGTCCCACGAGATGTTCGACTCGGCCAATATAAAAGTCAGTGCGAGGACCTGATATATTACTTACAAACGAACAAATGCAGACCAGGACTCTCAAAAAAGGAAATCAGAAACATAAAGAACAAGGCAGTAACACACAAGTTTAATTCAACCAGTAAGTGTCTATATAATATATAATTAAAAACCTTATAGTTGTAGCAGCTTGTGGGCTACTTTATACTGTATCTGCAAGACTATAACTGACCAGTTTTATATGCAATTTATTTACCGAGCCATGCTTTGAGGGACAGGGAGAACATGCTTTGCAACCGACTGGTGCAAGATTGTTTATTAGAGAGTGACAGAGATAGTTTTTGAATTTCCTACATTTCTACTGCTATATATGTTGTGAAATGAGAAAATCACAAATTCTACAATTATTCTTTTTTCTTTTAATATTAGATAATGAATTGATATATGTTGGACAGAAAAAGGACCTGAAGAAGAGAGTTGTCACCGAGTTGGAAGAAATCAAAGACATCCTAAACCAGTATCACTCAAATCCTATGGGTGGGCATAGTGGTATCAATAACACACTGGCTAAAATTTCACAGTATTACACATGGCATGGTATGAAAGCAGATGTCACAGAATACGTAAGTCACAAGAACATATGTATATGGTATTTATTACAGGCCTAGAAAATATATTTCTCTACATGGCAGCAAAATCCAAAAATAAACATTTCAGGTGCAAGTCAAATATATAAAACTTCCTGCATATATGGATTCCAAAGCCGTACAATGCCACACATTGTGATAAACCCAGTCTTATCTTGCAACATGCTTTTGTAAACAATGAGTAAACCTCTGGTAGTATTAGACAAATTGCCATTGCATTGATTAAATTAATCCTGTATACAACATTTCCCACTTATCATGTGATATAAGACAGACAATTATGAGTAACTAAAAAGTTGTGGGTGACAGAATGAGTTAATAGAGATATTTATCTTCTAAACAGTGCCAGACTTGTGATCGTTGTCAAAGATTTGAGAAGATAAAAACTCAGGCACCAGAATTGAAATCAATCAAGGTCAATGAACCTATGGAATTGGTTGGAATGGATCTCATTGGTAATATAGATATATGACTGTACAACATACATATCTGGTACATGGTGACATCAATGCATATAGACATGTGCAAAGTGTTGTGGAGCCACATTGCTCAAACGACCACAAGGAAAGTGAGCTTAACTGCATTATTGTTAAGCAGCACCCAATGCCACTCATACAGGGATGGAAAAAATAGCCTCGCAGGAAATTCTAAACAGCTAACACATATCTTTTGTTTGTTTATTGTTCTTCTAGATTATTTCAAATATTTTTAATTACTTTTCTCTAACATTTCGGATTCTTCTAAGACACCATTTTCATCTTGCGTCAGCTGCATGATCATGTGATTGAAAACATTACTTAGATGTTTGAAATTTGGATAAGAAAAATCCTTACTAACAGTATCCTGTTTATTGTTCCGTGTTTAGGACCTCTTCCAACAACTTTGGAAGGATTCAAATACGTCCTCACTTTTACAGACTACTTCACAAAATTTGTGGATTTTTTCCCATTGAAAGAGAAAGCTGCTGCTGGAATTGCAAGGTGTATTCAAACCTTTGTTTGCAGGTCAGGAAAATTCCATTAATTGCATGTAACTATAAATAAACTAAACTTATACTGTATTACATAAACTAAAAATATGTTGTGAACATATGCAGTATATTTAGTCACCACTTCAGTAAATATGTGAATTTTTTTATAGGTGGGGTGCCCCTTGTAGATTATTATCTGACCAAGGCCGCAAGTTTGTTGCAAACGTAAGTCTACATTTTAACTGTTGCAAATTGTCAAGTACTACTCATATATAGATGATTTCATTGTTTTCACCAAGGGTGGATTTTCATATTTTTCTCTGGGGGATGAACATAATATTTCTATCTTACTTAACAGTAGTTTAATTTAGTGCATTTAAATTTTGACAGGGGGATGCACATTTTTGTTGGGGGCGCACACAAAATCCGTTCTTGGTTTTCACATTGTTTGTTATTCTTATAAATGCAAATTTTCCCCAAAAAATCGTAATGCATGTATAGTGCTGTATATAATTAGTTTGCAATGTGATACTTGAGCATGCTTCCCCCTTTTCATTAATTCTAGGTTAATAACGTGGTATGTGAAAAGTTAAACATCAAACGGTCTGTGACAAGTGCCTACCACCCGCAAACGAATGGGTTGGATGAGCGTACCAATCAGACCCTGAAGGTTCGCCTTTCCAAACTGGTAAATGAACATCAGAACAACTGGGATCAATTTTTGGAGGAAGTTGCATTCTCAATTAGAACACAAAAGCAAGGATCTACCAAATATAGTCCATTCTTTCTAATGTTTGGTCGTCATCCTAGAACTCCAATGGAGGTAGTTATATATTAAACTAATAATTTGATTGGCTGAGAGCAGTGCAATTTTTTTTAAATAAAGTACCAAAAAAAGAAATGAAGTACAAACTTTTTTCTCATTTATGTTTACATGTTAAAACATTTTGAAATATTTTCTTTTTAATACATTTTGACAGTTGTTGTTTGTTCTGTTTACATGTTGTTCAAATTATAGATATATTATTTTGCATTTAACTCGCCTGCATACATGTATGTGATTAATAAATTTTTGTGTATATTATTAATAAGTAATAGTATACCTTCTCGTGCAACTTGGAAAAACAGGCACTTATGAGTTTTTCACTTTTGAAGTGTTTGCAATTTTGAAGTCACTCGTGCATGCTTTTTTTCCAAATTGCACTTGAAACCATACAATTACCTATACATTCAAATAAGTAAAAAATATCTCATTGTAAAACATGAACAAGACAAAGCTGTGTATAGCAGTAATACTCACATTCTGATTTTGCAGATGGAAAACACAGAAGAGGACCATGCCATTCTAGAGGAACAACTCAATGATGATGACTTAGAACAGATGGTTATGGCAAGAGTTTCTAAGATGGCTAATATCAACGAAAAGGTTAATATTGAACAGTTTGTATATTGCACCTACTGTAACTTCCAGATGTACTCATCACATTGGGTTAACAGAACTATCCAGGGTGCGATAATTCAATATTTTTTAGGCGTACCTGACTGGTACTCCAACAATTTTTGGAGTCGAGGTGTACCTAAGATTATGCCTAACATAACAGCTATGCTAACAGCTTAACCTTATCAAACCATTTATGGACATAAGTGTTAACAAGCATGAGAGTTTGAGATTTTTATCAATCATTTCTAATATTATAATATTTCTGGTATATTATTAAGGTTCAGGAAAACGTTGACAAAGCGCAAAAGAAGCAACAGAAGGAATTTGGAGAAAGAAAGAGCAAGGGAGTAAAGGTCTTTGAACATCATGTTGGAGACCTTGTACTTAGAAAAGTAATGAAGAATGTCAGTCGAAAGGGAGGCAAGATGGAAGCACTATGGACTGGTCCTTACAGGTAATTATGGTTATAAACCAGACAGATCTGTCCATGCCTCTTGTTAGTACAGTTAGTAGCTTATTTAGTGGCAATGCATACAGTACTAAGCACACCTAAGTAGAGATGGGTTTTGCCTATTAATCGGCCTGTTTGCCAATAAAATTGACCTTCTTTGCTATTTTTTAGGGTTGCTGAAATTGATAACCACCAACGTGCAACACTGCAGAACATTGAAAGTGGTCAACCTCTAAATGTTAAAGTCCCATATTGTCAACTTCGGCCCCACAAAACCAGTGATTTGCATGAAGAGTTATGTGAAAGCGAGGAACTATCCAGGGTGGCTGAATGTTCAAACAGCACAACATATGACTGTGAAAATGATCAAGCCCCATCTGATGATGTATCACATTCCATGAAAGTTGAAAGTCCTTCCCAATCACCGCCATCAACAGCCACTAGTGTGAAAGAATGTGAAGATGACATTGTTATTCTGTCTTCCACTGGCCCAAAGCAACGTAAAACTGGGCTTCTGCCTGTTAAACCAGCCTATTTAGAAAAGAACATTGCATCGCTCACAAAAACAATCAGAAAGGATGGAAAGTGGTTGAGTGATGAACATATCAATCATGCTCAAGCGTTATTAGCAAACCAGTGTGCACACATAGATGGATTTCAAGCAGTGTCAGTCTTTTGTCCTGAAGGATGCCAAAATGTTGGAACACCAAAGAAAGAGTTTATTCAAATTATGAATGTCACAGGAGACCACTGGACAACAGTTAGTAAACTGAAATTTCTAAAACAGATGGCATACATGGTCCAGCCTACATCACAAAATATTACTCTTTGGTGGGGTGATATTCAAAAGCAAAAAGGGAGTGATGATTGTGGTCTTTTTGCAATTGCTGTTGCAACATGCCTTGCATTTGGAATCCTACCGGAGGAATGTTTGTGGGAACAAGATGTCATGCGTAGTCACCTGTGCAAATGCTTTGAGCAAGGCTTCATGTCACCATTCCCTGTTTCATCAACCAAGCGAGCTCACATTGGTTATCGTCGCATGGAAGATGTTGAAGTGTACTGCCATTGCAAACAGCCTTACACAAAAAAGGTTTTCATGATTGAATGCGATGGTTGTCTCAACTGGTTCCACCGTAAGTGTGAGAAGATCCCAAAAGTTGTTAAGAAAAATATTCCCTTCTTTTGTCGTAATTGTAAATAAATTGCCCCGAACTGTAAATAAAATGCTAATGTAAATAGTTGCTCCCTGTACATATGTTGCTGGTGATTGTAAATAGTTGCCCATTGTAAATAGAAGACTTTGTATTGTAGCCAGTTGGGTATTAAATATATTTATGCATCTATGTGTTCTTATTCGAAAACTTCTTACTGTCGATGCAATGGAAGTGTTGATAAAATATTGCATGAATTCATTCGCTCAAGTTGATCAATCCATACGAATTCAAATTTCTTTTTTACTTCCTGTGCGTTTCGTATTGGTCAATCGGTTCTGAAACAAAATCTAATTGGCTCATCTAAAAGCAACAGGAAGTTGATCAATTTTCTATCAAATGAATTGATCAACTTGAGGAAAGGAATTGGTGCAATATTTTATCAACACTTCCATTGCATCGACAGTAAACCATGATATTGTTAACACATTTAGCCGCGATATGGTTTAACCCATCAAAGGGATGCCCAGATGCCCCCTACATTATTATTTTACACTGTCTAATGCCAGACGATTTTACTCGTCAAGGGGAAAGTGCTGCCACTCATTGGGTTCTGCCCATGCATCCTGTTAACCCCTAATGCCAAGCAGTTTTACTTGTCAGGGAGAGAATGGGTGACATTGGCAGTTAGTTTTGTTAACCCATTAACTTGGGAGTATACCCCACCACTATGGCACTAACAAGCAGAATTGTCAGATATCAGACAGTAAAATACTACAACAAGGCAGATTGTTAGCTAATGGGTAATCGTTCCTGCTTTGATATTTTTATACTATTTAACACTTGTAAGACAAATCAGTGGGTGTGTCTTTGGTAAACATTAGGAAAATTACACTTTTCAAATCGGTTTTCTTTTAACTTTAAATAAAAATGAGTTGGGTGCATTGCAGCTTAATGGAACAATGGGGTTAATGACTTAATCAATAGCTAAAAGGTATTGCTACACCTCATAGTTACTGCCTGAAATAAATATTTTGGAATCTATTTAGAAACTACAAATTTTCAGTTTCATTGTGAAGTTTGTTCAACACAATTTTTTATTTCAATTAACTGAATGCAATTATGCAAACTCTGAAATAATATACACATTCGGGAGCTCAAGTTCATGTGCAGTCTTGACTCAAACTAAAATTGCGAGGCGTCTATATACACAACTAAAATTATAATTTTCATTACACATTGCAATTAAAGTATCATAATATTTATAGTATGCTACGTACATTCATCTACGTCCGACTCGTCCTGATTTCCAAATGTTCAAATTTCGGTAAAAACACAGAAAACTATCTCTTTATTCTTGTCATTTAGTTTCTACCTTTAAACATGTTTGTTGTTTAGGATGGATTCAAATAAATCTCGAGTTTTTGTATGGCGTCATATCACCGCCAATATTCATGTATATCATGCTTTCGACATTGAAGTTAAATAGGACATTCAGCACCTACGTGCTTTCGACATTGAAGATAAATCTGACATTGAACATGCAGAACATTCTACATATTTTCGACATTGAAGTTAAATAGGACATTCAGCACCTACGTGCTTTCGACATTGAAGATAAATCTGACATTGAACATGCAGAACATTCTACATATTTTCGACATTGAAGTTAAATAGGACATTCAGCACCTACATGCTTTCGACATTGAAGATAAATCTGGCATTGAACATGCAAAACATTCAACATATTTTCGACATTGAAGTTAAATATGACATTGAACACCTATGTGTTTTTGACATTGAAGTTAAACCGGACATTGAACATGCCGCGCATTTAGCACCCATCACAACTTCAACGTTCAAAATATGTTGAAAAAAAATTACCACATGTTGAATATTGGCGGAGTTGAACGATAGCGTCAAATCTCCGCCAATATTAATTAAGCTAACACAAGATAACCCCCCGGCCAAATTCATTCGTGTCCAGACCTCTAGAACATATCACATGACGCAAGCCGAGGATCGAATTCGGCGCATCTTGTCGCTGTATTGGAGGCCGTATATTCACCATAATATTCGCGTATATTCGCTTGTTTGTCTTAAATTAATTGACTTTTATAGCGCAGATTGAATTGCTAGAGACGCAAAAATTATATTTTAAAAATTCCTAATAATCGCATTATAAATAATCGATACATTTTACTTAGAGTGTAATTGCAAAAACAATGCGTGCGTCAAACTGAACTTTTGCTGCGCCAGAAAGGCAGATGGTTTTCTTTATATATTAAATCGTGAGGCCATGTGGTGTAATTTGATAGTACTTGTCAATTTAGCATAATTTTGCGCACTTTTCTAAGTTCCGAATCCGTGAGCCTTTAATAATTTTATTTGTCATTTACTTATACAACAATTAAAAAAATCCTACCTGTTTACAAAACTTTTGTGTTACACACTTAATAGGTGTCTTCTTACTAATTCAATAACTGTTACACAATAAAGATTTTTGCTGTCAATTGCACTAGAATTAGCGTTTTAATAATAGCACATAATAGTTTCGTGAGAAAATTTATTTATCTTATACCATAAACTTCTGATTATGATTACGGGCTAGTATATCGAATGGTGTGAACGTTAGTAATGTGACGGGGTCATAGACGTCGGGCTTATATTCGGGGACTTATAATCGGAAGTATATGGTATAAGATAAATAAATTTTTTCACGAAACTATTCTCCTAGTTTAAAAATTAAAAGGATGTAGCCTACTATTATTAAAATGCTAATTCTAGCTAGTGCAATTGACAGCAAAAATCTCTATTGTGTAACAGTTATGGAATTAATAAGAAGACACCTATTACGGTAATTAAGTATGTAACACAAAAGCTTGTAAACAGTAGGATTTTTTGTAAACAGTTGTATAAGTAAATGACAAATAAAGTTATAAAAGGCTCACGGATCCGGAAAGAAAAGTGCTCAAAATTATGCTAAATTGACAAGTACTATCACATTACACCACAACGATTTAATATATAAAGAAAACCATCTGCCTTTCTGTCGCAGCAAAAGTTCACGTTCACGCACGCATTGTTTTTGCCAGTACACTCTAAATATTAAATGTATCGATTATCTATAATGCGATTATTAGGAATTTTTAAAATATAATCTAATAAATAAAATAATATCAATTTTTATACATTTAATAACAGCTGTTGACTGCATGTTGTCTCAATCGCTCAGCAACTTCAAACAGAGCTTCTGCCTGCATCGCTTGCGGAAGTTATTGCCTCTGAGTTAATTCTTCCAGATTTTGCGTTTTTTGCGTCTCTAGCAATTCAATCTGCGCTATAAAAGTCAATTAATTTGAGACAATCAAGCGAATATACACGAATATTATGGTGAATATACGGCCTTCAATACAGCGACAAGATGCGGCGAATTCGATCCTCGGCTTGCGTCATGTGATATGTTCTAGAGGTCTGGACACGAATGAATTTGGCCGGGGGGTTATCTTGTGTTAGCTTAATTAATATTGGCGGAGATTTGACGCTATCGTTCAACTCCGCCAATATTCAACATGTGGTAATTTTTTTCAACATATTTTGAACGTTGAAGTTGTGATGGGTGCTAAATGCGCGGCATGTTCAATGTCCGGTTTAACTTCAATGTCAAAAACACATAGGTGTTCAATGTCATATTTAACTTCAATGTCGAAAATATGTTGAATGTTTTGCATGTTCAATGTCAGATTTATCTTCAATGTCGAAAGCACGTAGGTGCTGAATGTCCTATTTAACTTCAATGTCGAAAATATGTTGAATGTTCTGCATGTTCAATGTCAGATTTATCTTCAATGTCGAAAGCACGTAGGTGCTGAATGTCCTATTTAACTTCAATGTCGAAAGCATGATATACATGAATATTGGCGGTGATATGACGCCATAGATTTCCGTATAGATTTTTTCTGTGTGGTTAAGTGTTTTCACTGTTTTGTTAATGATAATTAGGAAGCGTGAAAAGGTTATTCATAATAATATTAATAAATGTTCTCTGATCGTAAAACATTTATTTAATATTTTATGATGTGGGCGGAGCTGGAGCTCAGAGCTATAATTCGGCCGGAGCCGGAGATGAAAAACCGAAGTTTGCACAGCACTAAATGCGGCTTTTACTCTGACCTGTGTGTATATACTCTGTGATTTTCACGCTCTGTTAATTAAAATAAGTCAGCTGAATGTTAAAACTATTCGATAAATTGATGATGTTGTTTCAAGCTGTCTAAGAGAAAGCGGCAAAAGCCATCTTTTCAAAATGAGTCCAAATGTTGCCTTTCGAGCCGTACTTGAAATTCAACAGACGCGCACCACAATGGCTTTCTCCAGCTTGTAGTCGAACGTAAAGCCTGCCGCACACGAGAGCTATCTGCTGAGCCAAAAGTTACTCGTGCCTGTTAGCTCAGCTGATAGCTCACCGATCAAACATGTTTGATACGTGAGAAAAGGTTGCATGAGGCAAAAAACTCAGTAAAATGTACGCGCACACGGTGAGCTATCGGCTGAGCTAACAGGCACGAGTAACTTTTTGCTCAGCAGATAGCTCTCGTGTGCGGCAGGCTTAAGTCTTAGCCGTCAAGTCCATAAGTTTCAATTATCACGATATTGCTCTTGTTTAGTGATGTGGGAAGATGTTCCACAACGATTTTAGAAAAATCCATTGCTCAAGTTGTATTAAGTCTATTTATACTGCTCATAACTGATGAAAAATAATGAAATAGCGACCAAATTCTAGTATGTTACAGCTGTTATGCCTAAAGGGAAATTCATTAACATATTAACCATACTGCTTTGAAGCATATATATAAATTTTAAAAATCATTAATAATTCAGGAAAAACACAAAGAAAAATCATAAGCGTGTCGTGGTTTTATATGTGATAAAAAATCATGTTAATTTACATAAACTTTAGCTTTGATTTTCTCGGTTTAGACAAAGTTTATTTTAAAAATTACTTCGCTAATGTACTCATCAGAAGGTGGGTCGTTTTGTAAGCCATTTAAAGCACTCGTAGTCGTGTTTTATCACATATAAAACACTCCGCTACGCGTCGTGTTTTATATTTGATAAACACTCCTACTCGTGCTTTAAATAGTACATATATACAAATATATAGGCATTGTGTCATTCTATCTTTATAGCGATGTATTCAATATCCGCTTTGTCCTCCATCGATGTTGTTCACATTATTGTCGAGGCTATAGTGACAATTGGGTCCTTTCTCCGAAATTTATCTCGTTTCAAATGGCTCGTGCTTCAAGAACGAACCCGATTGACAAATTGGAAGAAAATCTGCAATGTACAGTTTGTCTGGAAGTGTTAAAAGACCCCAGAACCCTTCCTTGCTTCCACTCGTTCTGTAAAGCTTGTTTGGAAGGGGTTGTCAAGACATGTCGTGGCAAAGCACCTCACCGAAGTCGCCGCCGACCTATTCGAGAGTTTCCATGTCCAAATTGTCGTACGATGTTTGTGCTCGATCCCGGCAAACAGGTCGCCGACATGCCACGAAACCATTTTATCTGTAACATGGTAAAAGCGACAGCCGTACTGGATCGTGGAACCGGCGTTCCCTGCTCACATAATTGTAGTCAAAGCTACTCGGTCGCTCGTTGCGTCACTTGTGAAAAATTTCTGTGCCGAGAATGTCTGGCAGACCATAATAAATATCGAGGACACAGCGGTCACTCTGTTCTAACCATGGATGAGTTATCAAAGCCAGAAAATCGGACGAAAATCATGGACAGAATGCACTGCAATGAACATACGGGCAAGAGATTAAAAGTTTATTGTGAAACCTGTGACAAATTAATTTGTAAAGACTGCATGGATTTTAAACACGTCAAGCAAGGTCATTCGTGTGTTCTCGTCAAAGATGTAGCGAGCAAGTATAAGGAATTGCTTGTTTCAAATAACAAAGCAATGGAAGACGCTTTAACTGAAGGCAAAGCTGTTATTCAGCGATTAACGCTTACGACAAATGAACTTGATCGCAATGCTGAAGATGCCAAAAATGAGATTGCACAAAGAAAAGAATTCGTGGTGAAGAAAGTCGTTGAAATATCGAGTCAAAAAGCTAAAGCTCTTTCGAAGAAAGTGGATGAAATTCACAACGGAAAACGAGCAAATTTGGACCGACAAGCAGACGAAACCAAACTATATCTGGAGAACGTGAAAACGTCTGTTCAACTCTCAAAAAAATTGATCGACGAAGGCACGGACGAAGAAATCATTTCCACTCAAAAAATAATGTTGGATAACGCAACTATCCTTCTGGCAAAACGCGAAGAATATTTCAAAGCACCTACATTATCTGCAAAATTGAGTTGCACTTCCCCTACTTGCACAGAACAAATCAACGAATGGATATTAAGAGGGCTGAGAACAAGTTTAGGAGAAGTAATTCATGCAGGTGGGTCTCAATTCCCCAGATTGTTTCGTTTTTGTTTTAATACTTTATCACTGAATTACAGATGATAGGCGGTGGGCAGACATTATAGCCCCTGCAATTAAATCTGCCTAATGAACAATATAAGACAACTATAGGTCACAGTATAATTGAACCTTCAAGTTAAGGGGAATATAACCAGTTGAAGGTCTTTATATGGAAATTATCAAGTGGAAATTTATATAGTACATTTATTAGACCAGGGACCTAATTTTGCATTTTTCGCAGCTGTTCCTGGTTAGGTTTAAAAATGTATAGAAATTTTAAATTCTATGCATGCACTTGATAATTTCCATGCACTAATTGATATTAGATAGTTTAAGATCTACGACGTCGACGTCAGCTAGGACGTCAGGGCTAAGCAGAGGACTGGGACTACATTAGGACGACATCCTACTCTCAGTCCTCTGCATAGCCCTGACGTCCTAGCTGACGTCGACGTCGTAGATCTTAAGCTATCTAATATTCAATCTATATATATATATATATATATATATATATATATATATATATATATATATATATATATATATATATATATATAT